GAACTCCTGAGCTCAAGCGATTTGCCCACTTGGTCTCCCAGAGTGCTAGGATTACAGGCAGGAGCCACCACCCCCAGCATTAAAATGTCATCATTTTATATTCTTATAAAGAATTACTCTTCCAAATTACCATTAAGGTTACATCTTATTTAAAAACTACCTCTTATCTACCTGAATATGGTTGTCTCCCACCTTCACTTGTGGCTGTTGCTGTACTTATTTGATGATCCGTGGCTGGCTGGCTGCCAGCCTGCCTGCCTGCCTGCCTGCCTGCCTGCCTTCCTTCCTTCCTTCCTTCCTTCCTTCCTTCCTTCCTTCCTTCCTCCTTTCCCTCCCTCCCTTCCTTTCTTCCCTTTTCTTTTTGTGGCATCCTCTGGAAGAAGAAAGAGGGGGAGAATTTCAAAATACCATACAGATCAAAAGTCTTGATAGTTGTTTGACGACAGTGGTAACAAAATTAAGACAATGTAGACAAAATGAGCCCCAGAGCCTACCACTTTCTTGGTAGGATTTCCCAGATGAGCCAGATGCATCCTTTGGGTTTTCTTCTTATTCGGTGTCCCAGGAAAGTAGATTGGATACTTTTTATTACTGTCTGGAAACCTTTTGGATTTTCGAGCTGTGTTTGCAGTGCCCAACCCTTGCCACTGTGCTGGCTGGCATGTTGCATTTCACCACTACTTTCTTTTATACTATTGTCTTCCAAAAAAAGTTGAATTGTAGGTGATTCTCATGAAAAAAAAATTAGCTTAATGATTCCAATTAAGTTATATCTTCATCAACCTTTAGAATACATCAAAAATGTTAGCTTTTTGTTTGTCTGCCAACTAACAACCTTTATATCTCAAAAGTTATACACATGCTTGTCATAGAAAAATTTAAATATATAGGAACAAAAAGAGATGAAAACAAAATCACCCATAAACGTGCTACCTAGAAATAACCTATATTAACATTTTGGGGTTCCAGCCTTTTAAATGCATATTGAATCCTTCGTTTAAAACAAAATGAAATATTATACACACTTATTTTTGTCCTTTTCTCTTAGTTAAAATATGACTCTTTTCACTACTACACAGGAATTTACGACTATACTGTCAGGCATTAAGTTTGTCCAAGTTTCACACAATGGCACCCCTGTAACTAAATCTCTGCACATTACTGTTTCCTTAGGATAAATTCCTAACAGAATTGCCATGTTAAAAGATACCAACTTCTAAAAGTTCCTACTATGTAATTTCATGTTACTTTCCAGAATGGTTGCACTAATTTATACTCCCATCCTTGGAATAGCATATGTTATCTTTTCTTTTAATCTTTGCTAACCTAAATGAAAAATATGGTACCTCATGTTGATTTTTTTCATTGCTATTGATAGTGAACACTTTTCATATATCTATCATCTTTTTGTATGTTTTCTGAGGGCCCATGTATATTTTCTCCTATTTTTTTTTTTGAAACAGTCTCATTTTGTCATCCTCAGTAGAGTGCTGTAGCATCACAGCTCACAGCAACCTCAAACTCTTGGGCAAAAGCTATTCTCTTGCCTCAGCCTCCCAAGAAACTGGTAGAATAGGTGCCCGCCACAATGCTCAGATTTTTTTTTTTCAGAGACGAATTCTCACGAATTCTCTGATCTCAAACGCCTGAGCCCAGGCAGTCCACCCACCCACCTCGGCCTCCCAGAGTACTAGGATTATAGGCATGAGCCACAGTGCCTGGCCCCCTATATTTATTTTGATGTTCTCATTTTCTTACTGATTTTTATGAACTCTTTATATACAAAGATATCAATTTTTCACATGTTATAAATATTCTTTGGTTTATATCAATTACTTCTGAATGTTGGCTATGGTGTTTTGTACATGAAGAGTTTAATTTGTTCATAATTTATCATCATACCAAAGCTTTCAGTTTCTGTCTAATCAAATCTATCAATTTTTTTTTTGTTTTTTGCCTTTGATGCCCTTCCCTACTCCAATCTTATTTAAAAAATTCACTTTTTAAAATACATTAATGGCTTCATTTTTGTTTTTTTCATTTTGACTGAGGGGATTATATTAAGTGTGGCATCATAGAGCAATGAGTATGAATTAAGTGAGGACTAGTTTTCATCCTTCTACTCTGAGTTGCCCTTAGCTATTTTCTCCTCCAAAATCAGAATCTTCTAGGATCCCAGGGAGGTGTTCCAGCAAGAGCGTCAGCCAGTGCCCTCATTTCTAGTTCATCTTATTTTAATACCATGATGAGAGGTACTTTGGCTCCCTAGAAGGACAGAAGAACTTGTCAAGGCTCAGAGGAAAGTTCGTTCCTCCACAGAGGGAGCCCTATCTGGGAGGTGCTCTGATGTTTGGGAATACCAGTCTTCTTGGAGGCATTCGGGCCAAGTTACAGGATCAACGGTGTGGGATCCAGGCAGTTTGTGCAGGGTGGTTTCCCTGTTGCCCTGTGCCCAGCCTGTGGGCTTTGACCTCTTTCCAGAGCATCCTGATGTGGGAGGTAGGTGCCAGCTCCTCATACAGGGCCTCATCCATAATTACTGCTAGTACAAAATGAACTCACCCACCCCCCTACCCCTAGCACAGGGAAGACAGATGGGTACTTGGAGCCCAACCAAATTGGTTTCCCTTGTCATCGGATCTTAAAATGCTAGACCCTGAAAGGACCCTAAAAAGCACATCACTGCCCAACCTTGTTTCTTGAGGCCTGAGAGTGGGGGAGATCCCTTCCACAGCAGAATCCAGACCTTCTGGTGGATACTTCTGGGCTGTTTTCACTCCTCATTCATTGTCTAGCCCCTGCTGAGTGTCAGAAACTATACTGGGCCTTCAAAATGTAAGAAATGTCTAAAACTTAACTTCTTGCACACAAAGAACTCACTGTTTAGCTGAAAAAAAGATGAATAACAATAAATCATAGTATGTATTATTGGATGCATTAATAGAGATATGGACAGGGTACTGGAGGAGTACAAAGAAGGGTGACTAATTCTAGCAGGAGGAGCAGAAGAACAAGAGAGGACTCTTTAGAGGAAGTAACATTTGAATTGGAACATTAATGAAATGGGAGGTGTTCACTATAAGGAAAAGACCAAAGCAATGCATGTAACCAAAGATATCTACCCCTGTAATATTTTGGGAAAAAAAAAAAAACACAGGAGGAGCAAAGGCACAGGAACAGGAAATTCAATGTATATGAGGACTGGAGAGTGGTTTGATGAGTGGGAGATCACACAGGATTTACACACCAGTTGACTGTAGGGCTAAAAGGAACAGGAAAGGAAAAGATAATGATAAAATTTCTGGTTTCCCCAAACTGCTATCCTATCAACCACAAATTCAATATGAAATCATGTTAATTTCACTTTCAAGGCAGAAAAACCCAAAGTTAATCAAGTCTACACTTTTATAAAGATCACACGAAGAAGATGCAACATTATGCTATACATTTGGAAACCTTTTTTTTTCTTAAATGCAATAAAAATGATCAATATGTAGACTAAGAAAAATATTTTGCATAACAGTATATCTTAAAGTTCCTCCCTTCTCAGAGTGAGGTGAGGTCAGTGGGCACCAAGCCAAAGGAGGATCATAAAATAAGGCTGATCCAAGGTGAAAGAGTTTGCTGATTGGGAGAGTCAGGCCAGAAAATGTTTATCACTCTCTTAGGAGTAAGATGAGAGGCAGCAAAAACAGGCTGGCATATTTCATGGGCCCATGTCTTCCTTACCCGGAAGCATTATATGCATGAGGGGCAGCACTTCCTGTGATCAGCTCTTTCTGAGGTCTGCCCCTCACTGATGCTGGACTTCTGAAAACAGTGGAAGCTCTCAACATCTTTGATTTGCACAAGTGTGCAAAGGTTAGAGAACTTGATTGCCCTGGATGTTTCTGCCTAATTATTATATACGAGGGATTAGACTAGATGGGGCATAAGATACGGTGAAATATAAGACATAGACCTTACTCTCTCAGAATTTACTGTCTGTTCTGATTAAATTATCTACTATTGAAAACATCTCTCCAAACAACTATATTATTTACTTAAAAACAATAAAAGACTTAAAGAGGGGGAAGATTGTCTATGGGACTGCCCAAAATATGTTTACTAGATATACTAAAAGTAAATTTTGCACTTCAAGTAATTTCTTTCTCTATCCCTCTCTCCTACCAGATAATTTTCAGGATCAGATGAAAAGGGAACTAGCCTACCGTGAAGAAATGGTACAACAGTTACAAATTGTAAGATGCATTCCTATTTAAAATTAAACACAACCTGGTCTTTTTTTTTTTTTTCCTAAACCACCCAATGTGTATGAAACTGTTCATGTTTTTGTCTCGCACTCCTTTGGTCCGCTTACCTCTCAGCTGGTTTAGATGCTAATTACCAAGAGATTTACTTAGACTCAGGATAAGCAGATGTGTCAGTATGTTTCCTCCAAATGTAACTACCTACCATGTGTTTATAAACAGATGTGTAAATTTTCTCTGTGGGCAAACTGGAGGTACCTGCATTTTCTTCCATTGTGCAAACTTCTGAACGCAGTGCTGGGATGTGCGAGGAGCTCAGTGAAGGGCAGTTGTCTTCCATCGTCCTCTCCTTTCACTACTGAGATCTTGAGTCAGGCCCTCCTCTGTCGAGCAAACTTAGTATCAACACAATTAGTTTAATTCACTGAAGGATGATGAAGAAACAAATTATTTCCAACTAAAGTGTGTTGCTCTATACTAACCATTTCTAACTGGCTCAGATCTGTTTATATGGAAGAAGCAAGGAAAATTTGGAATAATTTGGAAACAAATTATTTCCAACTAAAGTGTGTTACTCTATACTCATCATTTCTAAGCTGGCTTAGATCTGTTTATATGGACAAAGCAAGGAAATGTCTGGAAATCAATGTAGTGATTCTGTTTTGGCTTTGTTTTTCTGAATTCCTTGTCCTTTTGCCCCATGGAGACAGATACATTCAGTATTATTCACTAGGGATTTTATTATATTATATTTTATTATTATTATTTTCGAGACAGAGTCTCACTCTGTTGCCTAGTAGTAGAGTGCTGTGGCATCATCATAGCTCACAGCAACCTCAAACTCTTGGGCTCAAGCGATCCTCTTGCTTCAGCCTCTCAAGTAGCTAGGACTACAAGTGCCTACTATCATAGATACCTGGCTATTTTTTCTATTTTTAGCAGAGATGGGGTCTCACTGCTGCTCAGAGTGGTCTGGAACTCCTGAGCTCAAGCAATGCACCTGCCTCGGTCTCCCAGAGTGCTAAGATTACAGACGTGAGCCATCACCCCTGGCCTCATTAGGGATTTTAAAGCAGTTTCCCAATCTGCTTCATTTTCATGAGTACAATGGGGAAACTTGTTTCCGTTCAAAGTTTTCAAGATATTTTTAATCACCTTGATACAGACATATACCATCTAATCTTTGGTGATATTCTCAGCATCATGACTCCACCTTGGGCTGCTTGACATGTTCGCACCCAAGCCGTGTTACCCTTCACCCTTTGAGGACATATCTGTGCTCAGACACACCTGGATCTTCTAGAGTCAGGGATCTAGTTCTCTGTCAGCATTATCTAAGAAAGATGGTTATTAATGTTTCCTTTCTCCATCGGAGAAATCATGCCACCATTAATGAATATCCCTGAGAGTCATTTTTAAAGCAACCTTATATTTCATGATGTTTCCCCCATTCTGGGGGCTGAGTTAAAAGTGCTGCTTCTGACCCTAATACTCCTACTGTGGTTTTCCTTGTTCTAAAGTGCTC